CAGCAACAGCAACAGCAACATCAGCAACAGCAACAGCAACAGCAGCAGCAGCAGGAGCAGCAGCAGCAGCTGGGTCTTCTTCCTCTGTTGCTGCTTCTGCTGCTGCAGCAGCAGCTGCTACTGTTGCTGCTGTTGCACATACATGACTATCTATGGGAGCAACGACACCGTCTACTCCGTTGTTGCTGCTGCTGTTGCAGTTGCTGCTGCTGCTGCTGCTGCAGTTGCTGCTGCTGCTGCTGCTGCTGCTGCTGCTAGAGGGGAAGCAGAATAGACGTGCAGCAGCTGTCTGCTGCTCCGTATCCATCCTGTTGTTTTGTCTCTGTTTATAAATATAAATAAATATATAAATATATAAATATATATAAATATATAAATATATAAATATAAATAAATAAATAAATTAAATAAATATTTATATAAATAAATAATAAATACACACACTAACATAAAACAAACAAACAGCTGCAGGTCTCCTCTTTGTCTGTTTGTCTCTTTCTTTTTTATTTTTTATTTTTTTTTTATTTTTTTGTTTTTTCTTTTTCTTTTTTTGTTTTTCTTTGTTTTTTCTTCTGTCTCCTTTTTGTTTTTTGTTGTTCGCTCTGTCTTGGTGTTTATTTATTTTTGTTTCTGTGTTCTTTGTTTCTCTTCTTTTTATTTTATTTTTATTTTATTTTATTTTATTTTATTTTATTTTATTTTATTTTATTTTGTTTTATTTTATTTATCTCTGTTTGTCTTTGTCTCCTCCCTACTATATATATTTTTTCCTTCTTTGTGTGTTTTTTTTTTCTCTATCTCTTTCTCTCTCTCTGCTTGTCTCCCCCCCTCTATTTATTTTTATTTTTCTTCTGTCTCCTTTCTGTCTCTTTTCTGTCTCCTGCTTTACCCGACAGCCGCAGCAGCAGCAGCAGCAGCAGCAGCAGCAGCAGCAGCAGGAGCAGCAGCAGGAGCAGCAGTAGGAGGCCGCGTGTTTCTCCGCGTTTATAAATAAATATAAAATAAATAAAATAAAACAAACAAATAAATAATAAATAAATAAATAAACAAATAAATTATATAAATAAATAAATAATTACTAATTATTTAATTAAATAAATAAATGCTTCGCCTGCATCTGCTGCTGTTTCCTGCTGCAGTTGCTGCTGCTGCTGCTGCTGCTGCTGCAGCACCGATCCAATAGCAGCAGCAGAAAAACAAATCTATGCATCAAATAATTACACCACCGATACCTGCAGCAGCAGCAGCAGCAGCAGCAACAGCAGCAGCAGCAGCAGCAGCAACAGCAGCAGCAGAGAAAAAACAAAAGCAGCAAAAGAAGAAACACAAGCAGCGGCAGCAGCAGCAGCAGCAGCAGCAGCAACAGCAGCAGCAGGGGAGACACAGCAGAAGCAAAACAAATGAAAGTAGGTATCTATCTCTGTCTGTATTGTCTCTTTGTCTCTTTTGTCTCCTTTTTATCTGTCTCCTTTTTCTTTCTTTCTCCTTTTCTGTCTCTTCTTCTGTCTCTATTTATCTCTCTCACTACCAACAAAACACCAGCAGCAGTGCAACAGCAGCAGCAGCAGCAACAGCAGCAGCAGCAACAGCAACAGCAGCAGCAGCAGCAGCAGCAGCTCACCTCAGATGGCCCCTTGAAATTTTGCCGCCTATAAGCGCTGAAACTGCAGCAAACACAAACACACACAAACACACCAGCAGCTGCAGCAGCAGCAGCAGCAGCAGCTGCAGCAGCAGCAGCAGCAGCAGAGCAACGGGAGCTACGAGGGGAGCAGCAGCAGCAACAGAAACAGCAGCAGCAACAGCAGCAGCAGCAGCAGCAGCAGGTGCAGCAACAGCAGCAGCAGATGCTGCTGCTGCAGCAGAACCATCCGCTACGTATTGTCCGTAGCAGCAGCAGCAGCAGCAACGCCAGAAACGGCAGCAACAGCAACAGCAGCAGCAGCAACAACAGCGGCAGCAGCGGCAGCAGCGGCAACAGCAGCAAAAGCAGCAAAAGCAGCAGCAGCAGAAACGGCAGCAGCAACAGCAGCAACAGCAGCAGCAGCAGCAGCAAAAGCAACAGCAGAAACAGCAGGAGAAGCAGCATGCGCAGCAGCAGCAGCAGCAACAGCAGCAGCAGCAGCAGCAGCAGCAGCAGCAGCAGCAAAAAGGAGATTACCTATCAGTGTGTGTTGTTTGTGTAGATTCATCAAATGTATTAAAATGAGCCCTGGCGTGTTTATATAAATAAATAAATATATAAATATATTTATTTATTTATTTATTTATTTATTTTATTTTATTTTATTTTATTTGTTTGTTTTGTTTGTTTGTTTATGTTGTTTATAAAACAAACACAGATGTGTTTATCTATATTTCTTTTGTTTCTTTGTTGCTGCTGATATGAATGCTCCAGCAGCACATGCTGCTGCAGCTGCTGCAGCAGCAGCAGCAGCTGCTGCTGCTGTTGCTGCTGCTGCTGTAGGTAGGTGT